CAAGGTGGGGCTCACTACCCTCAGAGTGCAAGGTGGGGCTCACTGCCCTCAGAGTGCAAGATGGGACTCCCAGAGTGCAAGGTGGGACTCACTGCCCTCAGAGTGCAAGGTGGGGCTCACTGCCCTCAGAGTGCAAGGTGGGGCTCACTGCCCTCAGAGTGCAAGGTGGGGCTCACTGCCCTCAGAGTGCAAGGTGGGGCTCACTGCCCTCAGAGTGCAAGGTGGGGCTCACTGCCCTCAGAGTGCAAGGTGGGGCTCACTGCCCTATGAGTGCAAGGTGGGGCTCACTGCCCCCAGAGTGCAAGGTGCGACTCCCAGAATGCAAGGTGGGACTCCCAGAGTGCAAGGTGGGGCTCACTGCCCTCAGAGTGCAAGGTGGGGCTCACTACTCCCAGAGTGCAAGGTGGGGCTCACTGCTCCCAGAGTGCAAGGTGGAGCTCACTGCTCCCAGAGTGCAAGGTGGGGCTCACTGCTCCCAGAGTGCAATTGGGTCTCACTGTTCAAAGAGCACCAGGTGGGGCTCAGTGCTCCCAGAGTGCAAGGTGGGGCTCCCTGCTCCGATAGTGCAAGGTGGGGCTCACTGCTCCCAGAGTACAAGGTGGGGCGCGCTACTCCCAGAGTGCAAAGTGGGGCTCACTGCTCCCAGAGTGCAAGGTGGGGCACACTGCTCCCAGTGTAAGGTGTGACTCCCAGAGTGCAAGGTTTGGCTCCCTGCTTTCAGAGTGCAAGGTGAGTCTCACTGCTCCCATAGTGCAAGGTGGGGCACACTGCTCCCAGTGTAAGGTGTGACTCCCAGAGTGCAAGGTTTGGCTCCCTGCTCTCAGAGTGCAAGGTGAGTCTCACTGCTCTCAGAGTGCAAGGTGAGTCTCACTGCTTCCAAAGTGCAAGGTGGGGCTCACTGCTCCAAGAGTGCAAGGTGGGATTCCCAGAGTGCAAGGTGGGGATCCCGGTTTCCAGAGTTCAAGGTGGGGCTCACTGCCCTCAGAGTGCAAGGTGTGCCTCACTGCCCTCAGAGTGCAAGGTGGGGCTCACTGCCCTCAGAGTGCAAGGTGGGGCTCCCTGCTCCCAGAGTGCAAGGTGGGGCTTACTGCTCCCAGACTGCAAGTTGGGGCGCGCTACTCCCAGAGTGCAAGGTGGGGCACACTGCTTCCAAAGTGTAAGGTGTGACTCCCAGAGTGCAAGGTTTGGCTCCCTGCTCCGAGAGTGCAAGGTGAGTCTCACTGCTCCCAGAGTGCAAGGTGGGATTCCCGGAGTGCAAGGTGTGGCTCACTGCCCTCAGAGTGCAAGGTGTGGCTCACTGCCCTCAGAGTGCAAGGTGGGGCTCACTGTCCTCAGAGTGCAAGGTGGGGCTCACTGCCCTCAGAGTGCAAGGTGGGGCTCCCAGAGTGCAAGGTGGGGCTCACTGCCCTCAGAGTGCAAGGTGGGGCTCACTGCCCTCAGAGTGCAAGGTGGGACTCCCAGAGTGCAAGGTGGGGCTCACTGTCCTCAGAGTGCAAGGTGGGGCTCACTGCCCTCAGAGTGCAAGGTGGGGCTCACTGCCCTCAGAGTGCAAGATGGGACTCCCAGAGTGCAAGGTGGGGCTCACTGCCCTCAGAGTGCAAGGTGGGGCTCCCAGAGTGCAAGGTGGGGCTCACTGCCCTCAGAGTGCAAGGTGGGGCTCACTGCCCTCAGAGTGCAAGATGGGACTCCCAGAGTGCAAGGTGGGGCTCACTGCTCCCAGAGTGCAAGGTGGGGCTCACTGCTCCCAGAGTGCAAGGTGGGGCTCACTGCTCCCAGAGTGCAAGGTGGGGCTCACTGCTCCCAGAGTGCAAGGTGGGGCTCACTGCTCCCAGAGTGCAAGGTGGGACTCCCAGAGTGCAAGGTGGGGCTCACTGCTCCCAGAGTGCCAGGTGGGGCTCACTGCTCCCAGAGTGCAAGGTCGGGCTCATTGCCCCCAGAGTGCAAGGTGGGACTCCCAGAGTGCAAGGTGGGGCTCACTGCTCCCAGAGTGCAAGGTAGGGCTCACTACCCTCAGAGTGCAAGGTGGGGCTCACTGCTCCCAGAGTGCAGGGTGGGGCTCACTGCTCCCAGAGTGCAAGGTGGGGCTCACTGCTCACAGAGTGCAAGGTGGGACCCCCAGAGTGCAAGGTGGTGCTCACAGAGTTCAAGGTGGTGCTCATTGCCCCCAAAGTGCAAGGTGGGACTCACTGCACTCAGAGTGCAAGGTGGGGCTCACTGCCCTCAGAGTGCAAGGTGGGGCTCACTGCCCTCAGAGTGCAAGGTGGGGCTCACTACCCTCAGAGTGCAAGGTGGGGCTCACTGCCCTCAGAGTGCAAGGTGGGGCTCCCAGAGTGCAAGGTGGGGCTCACTGTCCTCAGAGTGCAAGGTGGGGCTCACTGCCCTCAGAGTGCAAGGTGGGGCTCACTGCCCTCAGAGTGCAAGGTGGGGCTCACTGCCCTCAGAGTGCAAGGTGGGGCTCACTGCCCTCAGAGTGCAAGGTGGGGCTCACTGCCCTCAGAGTGCAAGGTGGGGCTCACTGCCCTATGAGTGCAAGGTGGGGCTCACTGTTCTCAGAGTGCAAGGTGCGACTCCCAGAATGCAAGGTGGGACTCCCAGAGTGCAAGGTGGGGCTCACTGCCCTCAGAGTGCAAGGTGGGGCTCACTACTCCCAGAGTGCAAGGTGGGGCTCACTGCTCCCAGAGTGCAAGGTGGAGCTCACTGCTCCCAGAGTGCAAGGTGGGGCTCACTGCTCCCAGAGTGCAATTGGGTCTCACTGTTCAAAGAGCACCAGGTGGGGCTCAGTGCTCCCAGAGTGCAAGGTGGGGCTCCCTGCTCCGATAGTGCAAGGTGGGGCTCACTGCTCCCAGAGTACAAGGTGGGGCGCGCTACTCCCAGAGTGCAAAGTGGGGCTCACTGCTCCCAGAGTGCAAGGTGGGGCACACTGCTCCCAGTGTAAGGTGTGACTCCCAGAGTGCAAGGTTTGGCTCCCTGCTTTCAGAGTGCAAGGTGAGTCTCACTGCTCCCAAAGTGCAAGGTGGGGCACACTGCTCCCAGTGTAAGGTGTGACTCCCAGAGTGCAAGGTTTGGCTCCCTGCTCTCAGAGTGCAAGGTGAGTCTCACTGCTCTCAGAGTGCAAGGTGAGTCTCACTGCTTCCAAAGTGCAAGGTGGGGCTCACTGCTCCAAGAGTGCAAGGTGGGATTCCCAGAGTGCAAGGTGGGGATCCCGGTTTCCAGAGTTCAAGGTGGGGCTCACTGCCCTCAGAGTGCAAGGTGTGCCTCACTGCCCTCAGAGTGCAAGGTGGGGCTCACTGCCCTCAGAGTGCAAGGTGGGGCTCACTGCCCTCAGAGTGCAAGGTGGGGCTCACTGCCCTCAGAGTGCAAGGTGGGGCTCACTGCTCCCAGAGTGCAAGGTGGAGCACACTGCACCCAGTGTAAGGTGTGACTCCCAGAGTGCAAGGTTTGGCTCCCTGCTTTCAGAGTGCAAGGTGAGTCTCACTGCTTCCAGAGTGCAGGGTGGGGCTCACTGCTCCAAGAGTGCAAGGTGGGATTCCCAGAGTGCAAGGTGGGGATCCCGGTTTCCAGAGTTCAAGGTGGGGCTCACTGCCCTCAGAGTGCAAGGTGTGGCTCACTGCCCTCAGAGTGCAAGGTGGGGCTCACTGCCCTCAGAGTGTAAGGTGGGGCTCACTGCCCTCAGAGTGCAAGATGGGGCTCCCAGAGTGCAAGGTGGGGCTCACTGCCCTCAGTGCAAGGTGGGGCTCACTGCCCTCAGAGTGCAAGATGGGAGTCCCAGAGTGCATGGTGGGGCTCACTGCCCTCAGAGTGCAAGGTGGAGCTCACTGCCCTCAGAGTGCAAGGTGGGGCTCACTGCCCTCAGAGTGCAAGATGGGGCTCCCAGAGTGCAAGGTGGGGCTCACTGCCCTCAGAGTGCAAGGTGGGGCTCCCAGAGTGCAAGGTGGGACTCACTGCCCTCAGAGTGCAAGGTGGGGCTCACTGCCCTCAAAGTGCAAGATGGGACTCCCAGAGTGCAAGGTGGGGCTCACTGCTCCCAGAGTGCAAGGTAGGGCTCACTGCTCCCAAAGTGCAAGGTGGGGCTCACTGCTCCCAGAGTGCAAGGTAGGGCTCACTGCTCCCAGAGTGCAAGGTGGGGCTCACTGCTCCCAGAGTGCAAGGTGGGACTCCCAGAGTGCAAGGTGGGGCTCACTGCTCCCAGAGTGCCAGGTGGGGCTCACTGCTCCCAGAGTGCAAGGTGGGGCTCATTGCCCCCAGAGTGCAAGGTGGGACTCCCAGAGTGCAAGGTGGGGCTCACTGCTCCCAGAGTGCAAGGTGGGGCTCACTACTCCCAGAGTGCAAGGTGGGGCTCACTGCTCCCAGAGTGCAGGGTGGGGCTCACTGCTCCCAGAGTGCAAGGTGGGGCTCACTGCTCACAGAGTGCAAGGTGGGACCCCCAGAGTGCAAGGTGGTGCTCACAGAGTTCAAGGTGGTGCTCATTGCCCCCAAAGTGCAAGGTGGGACCCCCAGAGTGCAAGGTGGGGCTCACTGCTCACTGAGTGCAAGGTGGGGCTCACTGAGTGCAAGGTGGGGCTTCCAGGGATCATTTCGGGGTAATTGTAATAACTAATACCGTAATTCAAATTCATAACTTGGTTTAAATATAACAAGTTATCCATCACATAATAATAATAATAATAATAATAATAATAATAATAATAATAATAATAATAATAATAATAATAATAATAATAATAATAATAATAATAATAATAATAATAATAATTGACCAGCCTCAAAACAATAGAGTAAATGGTGTAACGATAAATGGCTCTCAACAGGTCGAAATAGTAGTTTTAATCAGTATCATAAACTTATAATGATAATATTCTCATTCAGAAGAGACAGAATGGCATGTGATGGCTTGTACAGGTTAGGGTGGTAGAGATATTGTGTCATAAGGGGTAGCGGGCCCCACACAGCACAGTTCGCTCGCTTGGTCACCGTAGCGGCTGAGGCGTCAGTCCTAGAAGATGGCGGACAGGCAGGTGGATGATGTGGACCCACATAAACTGCACCAGGGCCCCCAAGGCCTCGGGGGAGGTGCAGCACCAGGACCCCAAGGCCTCAGTGGAGATGCAGCACCAGGGCCCCCCAAGGCCTCGGGGGAGGTGCAGCACCAGGGCCCCCCAAGGCCTTGGGGGAGGTGCAGCACCAGGGCCCCCAAGGCTTCGGTGGAGATGCAGCACCAGGGCCCCCCAAGGCCTCGGGGAATGTGCAGCACCAGGGACTCCCAAGGCCTCGGTGGAGATGCAGTTCCTGGGGGCCTCGGCAGAGATGCAGTTCCTGGGGGCCTCGGCAGAGATGCAGTTCCTGGGGGCCTCGGTGGAGATGCAGTTCCTGGGGGCCTCGGTAGAGATGCAGCACCAGGTGAGGGCCAGGTTGTGGCCAGCAGAGGCGGTGCCAGTTGCCTCAGCAAGTGTGAAGACGTCTCTTGTAAGTAGTGAAGATAACTGGCGGGAGGGGGGTGCAGCACCAGCCTCAGCAACAGGTAGACAAAATAATGGTTGTGGAAGGTGGTGCAAGACTCATGCGAGAGCTTGTAGTTAAGGCAGTGGAGCAGGAGAGGTGCTGCAGGATGTTGCAGGGTGAGGTGGAGGGAGCGTCCTGCAGGAGAGGTGTGGCAGGATACGAACTCTTCTCTACACAGACATATTCTCCTCCATCTCCTGAAACAAAAGATTGACACAATTAGTAGTCTCAGAAACTCACTGTAGGCCAGAGTAGCGCAGGTGTCTGGGAATCACCAGAACACAAGTTCGAGTCACTCCATTGCCTCAAAATAATTTTCAGAAAATTATATTATATATATTATTGCGGTAATCTCCTGCTTCGGCAGTAGATTTTGCTTATTCCTTTACCACCTATTCAACAACTATACATACCACCTATTCAACAACTATATCCGTGCTGTTACGGACTCGTCACCCTTGTCAGAGGGTAGAGTGGCAGTTCCAGCGCCATCTACGAGTCCGCACCCGAACTGCCCGGGAATCGTGCATAATATGGACAATGCCATCTGGTGGTGGCAATCTAAAACCTGTAAATGGCTAGAGATTCCTGCCTTGATCAGCCAGAGGGGTCGTTGTGAGTGACCTCTGGTGAGGTGACGAATCAAGACCAGCACCACCTAGTGTGTGCTACAGAGCACAATCCCTGGTGGAATGCAGACTGTGCTCGGGCTGTCCGCTGTAAGCGTGCAGCCTGGAAGAGACACCTCCGTTGGCAGACGGCCGATTCTTTTCTCTTCTTTTGAAAGGCGAGTGCGGTGGCTCGTACGGCCATCCGTACGACTAAACGTGAATGTTGGGCATCTTATGTCTCCACCATTATGTGAGAAACTCTTCTGCCACAGATCTGGAAGCGTATCGGCAAGATAGCGGGTAAGTTCGTTCCCGATGTTTCACCGGTCCTTCACCTAAGTGGTACTCTTGTGGCGGACCCGTTGCAGGTCGCTACCGAACTGGGTTCCCACTTTTCTTCTGTTAGCTTTGGTCTTCATCTTCTCCAATCTTTCCTTCTTCGTAAACCTGTCCTTGAATCTCGTCCTTTAGATTTCTGCACTCGTCTTCGACTTCCATATAACGATCTCTTCTCTCTCTCTGAACTTTGTTCTGCCCTGCCCCTCTGCGGTTCTACGGCGGCGGGCTCCGATGACATTCATTATGAGATGCTTTGCCATCTCCCTCCGTGCACGTCTCAGTATTTACTGAGTCTGTATAATCGGATCTGGGAGTCGTCATCAGTCTCTGAGGACTAGCTTGCTGCCGTTGTCCTAACTGTATGCAAACCAGGCCGGTCTCTGGGAACATTCCCTAAGGACTTTCGCCCTATTGCTCTCACAAGTTGTGTCTGCAAACTCTTTGAACGTATGGTTAACGTTCGTCTGATGTGGTTCCTGGAACACCATCACCTCCTCTCCTCTTCCAATTTGGTTTGGAGGTCTATATTCGTACTGCTTTTGCTGCGAAGATCTCCGTTGTTGCCGTCCTTTTTGACCTGGAAAAGGCTTACGACACCACTTGGCGATATCATATTCTATCTCAGCTTCATTCTTTTGGCCTTCGTGGTCATCTCCCTCTCTTTCTCTGCAGCTTCCTCTCTCGTCATTCCTTTTGGGTGAGGCTTGGTACCGCTCTCTCTGCATTTCAGCAGAGAGAGCGCTTTTCAGCATCGCTCTGCTTTTCAGCAATACGGTGTGCCCCAGAGAAATGTTTTGAGCACTACTCTTTTTTTTCTGGTTGCCCTCAATGGTCTTCTTTCCTCTCTTCCTTCAAGCGTCTTCTCCGCTCTCTATGTCGATGATCTTACCCTTTGCTATCAGGGTGATGATTTGCCTCTCCTTCAACGCCGGCTTCAACTTAAGATTGATGCCGTTGGGCCACCAATCATGGCTTCAAGCTCTCTACTACTAAGACCTGTGCCATGACTTTAATTCGGAAACGGGTCGTTCTTCGTCCCTCTTTGTCACTTTATGGTCATCCCCTTGAGTACAAAGATTCCACGAAGTTTTTGGGGTTATTCTTTCACACTTGTTTGTCTTGGTCTCCCCATATCTCTTACCTCCGTGTTGAGTGCTCTAAGGCCCTTACCATCCTTCGGGTATTGTCCCATACTTCTTGGGGAGTGGATAGGCGCACTCTCCTTGCTTGACATTCCTCTCTCGTCCTGTCTAAGCTCGATTATGGTTGCCCTGCTTACTCGTCTGCTTCTCCTTCTACTCTTCGTCGTCTTGATGCTTTGCACCATACTGGGTTGCGCCTCAGTTCTGGTGCCTTTCGTTCGACTTCCGTCCTCAGCTTGTATGTTGACACTGGCTTCCTGTCTCTCCAGGACCGCCATGATCCCTACTGTCTTTGCTATTTTGCGTGGTCCTTGCAACATCCTTTCTCTCGCCTCTATCGTGGTTTAACTTTTACCCTTCCTGCGGTTCCTGTTCCTCTTCACCACCTCCCTCTTTCTGTCCAGTTATCTCGCTTACAGGATTCTCTTTCCGTTCGTATTTCTAATATTTCTCCTTGTGTTGTTCCTTCTTTGCCCCCGTGGAGAGTCCCCCTTCCGCAGTTTTGTACATCCTTGACCCGCATCCCTAAAGCTTTTACCCCTCATACGGTCTAAAACGCCTTTTCCTCGAGCACTTTTCTTCTCACTCCCACTCCGTTTCCGTCATCACCAATGGGTCTAAGTCTGCGGACGGTGTTGGCTACTCTGTTGTTTTTCCCTGATCACACTTATATGTGTCGCTTACCTATGGAGACTAGCATCTTCACAGTGGAGCTTTATGCTATTCTCTATGCTCTTCGTCTCCTGCTCTCTCGTTGTCAGTCTTCCTTTGTAGTTGTTGTTGACTCTCTTCATGCCTCGTGGCTCTCAGATCCTTTAATCCGGTTCATCCAGTGGTTGTCGAGATCCAGCATTGGCTGTTTATTGTTTACAGTAAATTTAAGTCGGTTGAGTTTTGTTGGGTTCCCAGCCATATTGGTGTCTCTTTAAATGAGCGTGTGGATGCTGCCGCCAGGGAAGTTGTCCGCTCTTGTCCCATCTCTCGTAAAGGTATTCCTTATTCCAGCTTTTACCCGGTTATCCATTCCTCCATCCTTACCCGTTGGCAGGCTTGTTGGTCGTCTGTTACTGGTAACAAACTACGTTCTCTTAAAAGTTGTGTGTCCTCATGGCCGTTCTCCTACCACTGTAACCGGCGATGGGAAACGGCTCTGGTGAGGTTGCGTATTGGCCATACTTGCTTAACTCATGGTCACCTGATGGAGCGCCGCCCTGCTCCTTATTGTCCTAATTGTATTGTCCCTCTTACGGTCATGCATATCCTTGTTGAATGTCCTGACTTCCGGGACGAGCGTGTGTCTTGTTTTCCGACCATCTCCCGCCATCGCTTGTCTCTCGGTAGTATTCTTGGTGACTCTGATACTTTTGATATCGTTCGCCTTATGCATTTCTGTTCTCGTATTGGCATCCTTGGTGATATTTAGCGCCCTCTGATTATTCCGCACATTTAATGGTGCTACATAGCCTACCCGGTTTGGTGCCTTCTTTTTGATAATTACTTACTTACTTACAGAGCACAGTGTCAACTCCCCAGTGGGTTAGTGGTATTTCCTAGTTTCGCCAGTACCGGCTAGGTCATTGATGACGTTTTGTGTCCACAGAGGTGACGTCTGGGGGCAGCGGTACTGGAGACAGCAGTTCATCTTGGGCAGTCCAGAGTCCCCCTACATGGTCCTGGAAACGACCAAGTAAGCCACCGCCGATGAAGCAGTGTGGTAGTTGCTAGTGCTTTAAAGTGTTGAAAGGATCGGCGTACCTTTGGGACTGAAGATAGGAAGTGCCTGTTGAGTTGTGCTGCTAGCTGGTCTCTAGAGACTGCTGCCAGGGGATCGTTGCCCCTGTATTGGTTTGTGACCCCGCTCAGCGTGTGGCTGAGGTACTCTGCCAGCGAGTAGCTGGAGAGCAGTCATTGTGGTACAGGGACCTCATGACACTGTCAGTGGGCTGGCCCGCAGATAGGTCAACTCGCCAGTGTTCTTGCCAGTACGGTTGGATACGCTACTGGACAGTGAAGAAATACTGGGGATTGATGAACTCTGCATGTGAGCACGTTTGATATCCTGAACGAAAGAATTGTACATAGGTGTAGAAATAGCCTATCTGTTCTTTATATATTATTTATGGTGACGGTGTACATATATATACTTAACGGTGGTGGAAAGATATTTAATACATTGACGAAAGGAACAGTGTTTTGTTCATCCCCTCCCTTTTTTATGCATTGCATAGCCACTTTCTTGAAAGTGTACTACCGACTTGGAGTTGGATACTATCATTTTGGTTCAACCACCGAAGAACCCGGTTGCAACCCATAGTGGCCGTAACACGTGCTCAGAAGCCTGTGTCTAGACAAGACACTACCCCCCCCCCCCCTCCACCCTCTAGCACCAGAGACACCTGCTGTCTGGGGCCAACTCCACTCGCCGGTCGACTAGCTGAACCACTTGTATAAGACTGCCAGTGATAGTTACCTGCACATCAGCGTCATCTACACTAAGCCTGGCTGCATATATAAGCAGCTCCCCTCCGGCCAGACCTTTGCCTTTTTTTTTTTGGACAAATAATGCACAGACCGAAGCATCTATGGTACCTGCACCATGTTGCACAGGGTCAAGGCTCGCCTCCGAGAGGACCTCATTCTCACTACGGCTGAGATCTTAGAAAAGGTCTCAACCATAGGAAATGTCTCACCGGCTGACATCGTGGAGACCAGAGAAGGTGTTCACCTTCTCTTCTCCATCGACAATGACCTGGATAAGCTATTCGCCGCCTCCACCACGACCACCCTGCTAGACGCCGGCCTCACCCTCACTCCTTCATGACGCTATCTGGCGGACAGGACTGTGTTTGCCAGACACATAAGCGCATGGATCTCCGACCGCAACGACGACGAAATCCTCACCAGCATCAATTCCCTGAACCCGACACTGACCGCGGTAGTGGCCAAGATCAGCACCAACTCCAACAACGCCCGCAGACCCACACTGAAAGTGACCTTCAGCACGGTCATCGCAGCGACCCACGCCAAAGAACACGGCCTTAAGTGCGTCGGAATTACGATTCCACCTGCCCACATGACCAAGGAACAATACACGGAGTTCTGCCAGTGCTTCAAGTGCTACCGGTACTCCCACTACACCAATAAGTGCACCGTGCAAGTGCAGAAATGTAGTATCTGCACCCAGGAGCATCACTACACAGCCTGCACATCCTCCCACCGACGATGCCTACTCTGCAATGGCCCGCACACTGCAGTTTCACCTCACTGTCTCCACAGGTGGGAGACAGTGGAAGAAGAAATAAACAAGATAATGGCAAGCACCACCTCAACTCACCAAGCCAAACCGACTATGTCTGCTTTCCCGGCCTTGCTCGAAAACACTGGGGAAGCTGCTGCAGTTACCACCAACAACACCCTCCTACCAGTACTTCTACACCTCACCGACAAATTGGCAAGCAGTGACGTCAACCTATACGTCCACAAAATCAACAGGCTGCTCACCGCAAATGGACTTCCGACGGTGACGGTACCAGGCGACCTTCTCCGAGCTCCTCCTCCTGCAGCCGGCCCAGCATCCGACCCCGCAACAGGACCCACAACCAGTCCGGTAACAGGGACGCCACCCATCCTGGCTACCCCTGCCAACGAATACACCACATCCAAAGACGACAACGGACCACTCGGAACTCCCACAACCAACACCAAGAGGCTCTCCAGAGCCGCCACCGACGTCGACGAGTACGGCCTTGCGACCGACGACGAAGACGACGACGAAAACAAAAATACTTGCCCTGTGCTGTTCATTTCGCCCAGCAAGTTCAATGGCAACGCACACACCAGACGAAAATTGGCCCACAGATGTAATAAGTTAATTAGCCAGAACAAATACCTGCATCCCAGGTATGTTCACGCCTACACTATGAACACTTACACTGATCTCACAATACTGAGAAAAGAATACCACGACCCAGAATTTCACCACAAATTCCCAGACGGACAAATGCAATTCCTCAAAAAGGACAACGATCCTGATGGCACCAAACTACCGACGTTGCTCTGCTCAGATATAAAGCGTCGCCTTGCACATTAAACTGCAACCTGGCGACTAAGCCTCCTGCGAGCGACCATGAAGATCCCATCTATCCACAGATCCCAAGTACCAACTATTGGTACTGGTAAGGGCTCCAAGTGACCTCCACTTATGGGCTATTCATGCCCGTGCCCCCTTTTGGGTGGCTTAATCTTTATCAATTGGCCAGACCTTAGAATGCTCTCAGTGCTCTCAGCAGTAACATCTACCGTAGCCCTCCCATGAAACCGTAGATGTGTACAGCTTTTTGTATATTGTATAATTTGCACCTTTCTTTTGCCATTAACATAACTGTCACATGTCTATATTTCTTTTGCATTTTGTATTGTGACATCGCCAAGTAGAATATGGGAATTGTTTTTTGTTGTTGAAGTCATTTATGTTATATTAAGTATTACAAGTTTTTCATTCTTTGGACATTACCCGCAGCTCTCACACCGTAAAGAAGTCAGAAGTAGTTTTATTTACTTTGTTTTACTCTTTTATTTAATGCGATTGGCATTACACCAGCCAGAATAGCCACTACTCTCTTCTTTAACTTTTACCTCACAATATATATATATACATATATATATATATATATATATATATATATATATATATATATATATATATATATATATATATATATATATATATATTGAGAGCAGGTGTTCTCTAATACACATGGCATTAAACACAACAGTATAGGTAACACAGTTGAGCTTTTTAAGTCGAGGTAAGTCTTTGGTTTTTTATTATAAAAAGTTGTCTTTCCCCAGACGGGAGGAAGAGTCCAAGACTCCATCTTCGGTCAGTTCTTGGACACTGACAATCTCCAAGAGAATCACAACTTTCAATTATCCATTGCAATCACCAACTTATAACTTTTAAAAATGGATCCTGTAGTACAGTGGACCACATGCTCCATGTGGTTCGATCGCCGGACGGGGCGAACTAAATGGTTGGGCACGTTAATTGTGAGAGACGTTAATTGGTGATTAAGTGCTGTCTGGAGATTAATTATAGGTAATCAGTTGTTCTTGTGACGATGAGTTGTGTACTTACTTGGTCGAGGTTGCCGTTAAGAAGGTAGCTGAGCCTCCTCAAGATGCTGTCACGTGATCTGAGCCAAGATGACCCGCCAGACTTCTTAGACAGCTGGTTCTATGGGGGGGTAGAACATGACCTGGTTAATACGTGTATCTACACTGATGGTGGTGGTGGTTGGTATGATGGTGGTGTTGGTTGGTATGATGATGGTGGTGGTTGGTATGATGGTGGTGGTGGTGGTTAGTATGATGGTGGTGGTGGTTGGTATGATGATGGTGGTGGTGGTGGTGGCTGGTATGATGGTTGTGGTGGTGGTGGTGGCTGGTATGATGGTTGTGGTGGTGGTGGTGGCTGGTATGATGGTTGTGGTGGTGGTGGTGGCTGGTATGATGGTTGTGGTGGTGGTGGCTGGTATGATGGTGGTGGTGGTGGTGGCTGGTATGATGGTGGTGGTGGTGGCTGGTATGATGGTTGTGGTGGTGGTGGTGGCTGGTATGATGGTTGTGGTGGTGGTGGTGGCTGGTATGATGGTTGTGGTGGTGGTGGTGGCTGGTATGACGATGGTGGTGGTGGTGGCTGGTATGATGGTTGTGGTGGTGGTGGCTGGTATGATGGTTGTGGTGGTGGTGGCTGGTATGATGGTGGTGGTGGTGGTGGTGGTGGCTGGTATGATGATGGTGGTGGTGGTGGTGGCTGGTATGATGGTTGTGGTGGTGGTGGTGGCTGGTATGACGATGGTGGTGGTGGTGGTGGCTGGTATGATGGTTGTGGTGGTGGTGGTGGTGATGGTGGTGGTGGTGGTGGTGGTGGTGGTGATAGTGGTAGTGGTGGTGGTGATGGTGGTGGTGATGGTGGTGGTGGTGGTGGTGGTGGTGATGGTGGTGGTGGTGGTGGTGGTGATGGTGGTGGTGGTGGTGGTGGTGATGGTGGTGGTGGTGATGGTGGTGGTGATGGTTGTGGTGGTGGTGGTGGTGGCTGGTATGATGGTTGTGGTGGTGGTGGTGGCTGGTATGATGGTTGTGGTGGTGGTGGCTGGTATGATGATGGTGGTGGTGGTGGTGGCTGGTATGATGGTTGTGGTGGTGGTGGTGGCTGGTATGATGGTTGTGGTGGTGGTGGTGGCTGGTATGATGGTTGTGGTGGTGGTGGTGGTGGTGGTGGTGATAGTGGTAGTGGTGATGGTGGTGGTGATGGTGGTGGTGGTGG